TTGCCTACAGCTTTCATGCCTTCCTGAAGTACTGCCAATACTGACTCTTGGAGGGGGTGTTGGTTGAGACAGGCCTTTGGTCTTGCTTGCTACAGTTTTACTTTTGTTCTCATGTGTCCTAGGGGACTCACTCATCCTTGACTTCAGAATTCAGCTTCACCTATGGTTCTCTGAGAATCTTTTCAGGAAAACAGCACCTGCAGTTGTAAGGGTAATGCTGATTTCCCTTCCATCTTTCCATGGCCTTTGACATATTTGATGAAAGTTTGGATAAGACAAGCTGTGTGAGTTTACATATACAAGGTCCTTACCAACAACACTTCACAGCTTCTCACTTTCCCTGCAGAACTACATGAAGTTTGATGTCATAGAATCATAGAATCATTAAGGCTGGAAAAGACCACTAAAATCATCTAGACCAACCATCAACTTATCATGCTCACTAAGCCATGTCCCTGCTGTGTGGTAAGAGGGAGGGGGGACCAGCACTGCTGCTTACCATTGCATTCTTTCTGCACCACGGCCCAGGGTTTTTGCAACCTCTCCTCCTGTTCTGGGATGATGCTTAACTCTTTTCCTGTCAATTATTACATCTCCTTTCACAAGGCAACCGCAAAAGTGCCCACACAGCAAGGAAAGAGGACAAAGGAGTGAAGAAGAACCCTGAACCAGCACTGCCAACCCATTTCGCTGTCACCATAAACCCAGCCTGAAGAAATTCTGCTCTGAACACAAGCCACACCCCTCAGCCCTTCCAGTGCCCTAAGGCATTGGGGCCCTAAGGACTAAGATGGGGATTGAATTTCCTGACTGACCTCTCTGCGGCTGGGGAAGAAACGGGAACTGCAGCTCAGTGGCAGCTTGGGTTTCACTGCAAACCTCCCCAGTTCAGATGGGATTTTCGCAGGCGAGATGGTTTGATGTCGGCTGATCCCAGCACTGCAAAAGCTGTCAGAAGTGTGAGCAGGAAGGGGCTGCGGGTGCTGCTGGAGCCCACAGGAGCCCAAACACAATGGACAGTTGTCACGCTGTGTTCCAGCACTGACTGCTGCAAGACAGGAGCTCATCAGACCTTAATGTGCTAATGTGTCAAAAAATAACTGAGTGCAAAGCACAGGCTAAAGGCCACCCTGCTCCCAGCAGCAAGCACAGCCTGGGCTCGGCAAAGCTGCTGATGCAATGAGCAGAAGGATTACTCGCACTCCTGCCTGCACGCACCTGGGAGGGCTCACAAGGACAGGCTATTTTTACCCAGCATGGCCAGCCAGCTGACACAGTGCCCCCGCCACCCTCCTGCTCCTCTGTGGCCAGAACAAATGGCCAGGCTGGAGCAAAGTTATTGGTTTTGTCACCCTGCAGTGCAGGCAGGTTCTTTCTGACCCATCTCCTGCCATACCCAAGTGCATTCCCACCTCTGTGAGCCCCTGAGGCCTGCAGTGCTGCCCTGTGGCCCTACTGCTGCCTGAGCAGGCAGCTGCCTCCCTCCCCTGCCCGCTGAGCACCATCTCAGCTGACAAAAACAAAACTGAAACAAAAGTAAACAAGAGTGGGGAGAGCAAAATACCTGGAGAAGAGAGGCCGGGTGGCCCCTGAGAGCTGCCCCAGCCCCACTGCTGCTGCAGGCTGTGTGTGTCCGACCCGACCCACCCAGCACTGGCTCTGAGCCCGGGCACAGCTGAGCCCTACTCTCCGGCTGCCAGGACTTGGCTTGCTGCACAGAGAGGAGGCTCCCAGGCTCCTCCATCCCACTTTACCTCTCTTACTAGCAATTAGCTGCACACTGGGTGTTTCTAAAGTTGCACTGGGCTCACTGTAAGATTCCAGCAGGCAGTCAGAGTGGTGATAACACACATGGCACATCAGTCAGCATGGTCAATAAGAACAAGCCAGCCAGCCAAGCCTGCGAGCATTTATGCTGTCATCGGGAAAATGCAGCTTAGCCAGAAGCACACCTGCCTGCAGGATCTCCAGGGTCCTGACAACATTGTAAAGCAGGGCATCTTACTGCAGGGTGCATGGTGTTGCCGTGGCATTTCGGATGACTACTGACAGCCTGAACTCAGAGGCTCAGCAGCACAGCTCCCCTCCATCCTCCTGGAGCAGCATTTGCCATGAAGCCTTTTCCCCACAGCTGCCTCAACACAGCAGGAAGCCCCCAAGGGGCCTAGGATCACAGCAGCAGGACAAACATAGCACAGCACCTGCCTCACCTCCCTCAGAGCTGCTCTGAAACCGTGCAAGTAAAGACACGATTTCGTACACACACATAATCACTGACCTTTTTAGATCCACTTTTTCCTTCAGTGACGGAAAGAACAAGGAAAAATTTTGCCAAAATGATAGTACAGCTTGATTTTCTCTGAAAGTTTTGAGAAGAACAGAGAATTGTATAAGACAGGGAAGAAATCTCTTCATATCAGAGAGGTACTGGCAATACTGATTTCCGTATCAAAAAGCTTTGTGAAAGTACTAACATTTTTTTTGCTACATTCATGACCGCCGCAGTGAAAACTGCTTTTCTTTCTCATCAGTGGCAATGAAACCATGGAGAGGTTTGTAAGAACTGCCCTGTTGTGCTCTTTTTTTCCATCCAGTGCAAGTCATCTTTCTCCCCAAGTGAAACATTAGAAGGCAACATGAATAGCTAGAGGCCCATGATCCAGGCTCATGGCTGGGTCCTTTCTCCCCCACAACAAGCACCCAAGTGGTAGCCAAGCCTGTGTCAGACAGGCATGCAGGAGGAGAGGAGTTAATCTGTCACTAGATGGGGAAGCAATTCGCCATTACTTCTGATTGTTCATAAACCTAGGCTAATTGTTTCTTTGAAAGAGCTGTTCTTGTGTCCAAATCTCTTTGCAATCATATTAATATGTCAGACACCTTAAGAAAACAATATTTTCCCATTTGAGATATCAGCTTTGTAGGCTTGATTTTTCTCAGCTTCGTTGAACTCAGTGCTCTTGAAATCAGTATCAGAGGTGATTCAGATTTCTTACCATTAGTAAAAAAAAATAGTATTTTAACAGGCTCTTGTTGAGTTCTCTGTTTTTCATCATCTCCTGCATAACATCTCTCCTAACAAAACTACTCACTCCAGTTACCTTCAGGGAAGAATCTAAACTACCTACCAAGGACATATAAAGCCATTAAAAACAAGAATGATGAAGCCAAGTGTCGGGTGTAACTTGATCAGAATAAACAAGATTAACAAAGTATGCATGGCACAACTTACACTAATTCAAAAGTTAAGAGAAGTGGAAAATAAGTAGGTTCCTGAGAAGGACTAAAGGACAAATAAAAAAGAATAGGGCTATAGATAGCTGCAATTCTCATTTTCTTTATGCCATCTGTGAACTTCAATTCCTGCAAGAAGTTACACGTAGTTTTCACATCCACAAAACGCCAAGTGGATATGAGTTGCATTGTTCTGTCACCCCTGTAGTCACCTACTCTCTTTTTTGATCAATTCCTACCCATTTTTTGATATCCATAGTTATTTTTGTCACTACTAAATTTGTCCTAGGGACTGCTGCTCCAGCCAGCTTATACAAATATTGAGAGAAAAGAATCATATTCTTCCTGCAACTGAAATGCATAAACAAGTAACCACATAATGAGTTGTTATACAAATATCAGTTTACATCTGCATATGAAAGCAGGAAACAGATATCACGTGTGTTTTACTGCAGGAGGGATCTGCAGGAAATGCCAGAGCAGCAGCCCAGCTCCTGCAAGAAGCATGCACCAAAAAGAGCTGCTGAGCATTAGGAGTTCATTACATTACATAAAAGTGTAGAGATTAAATAACGTGATTAGCTTTATTCTTGTATTTATCACCTGCAGTTACATGCATGTTAAAAAATTGTTATTCACATATATTGTATTAAAGCCACATATTCTGGGCAAATAAACTCTTTCCCAAGAACACGTACTTTCCCCACGTTTCCAAAATGCACCTGGCTCACAATCACATACAAAATGGTTAGGTTGTGAATACACTGCTGTGCTATAACTTTTCTTCATGAGAGATGAAAGCAATGCAGATACGACTTGACTGAAGTCACTGAGTTGCTGGGTTGTTTTTCTCTTTTGATTGCATAAACTTGTTCTTTTGTCTTACCATTTTAATCTTGGAGTTTAATTTGTTTCCTACAATTCTGTTGTGGGATTCAGGCAGGCATCTTTCAGATACACAGACAAGTGTACAAGATGGATCCACACCCTCCTTTTAGCAGTCACAAATGCCATTCTGGCATCATGCCCCCACAGTTCAAATGACCTTGCATTTTGTGAGCTCTTGTGAAAGGCACACACAAAGAACTTGCATGTTGCTGAGCCCCATGCTATGGAGGCTTCCTACGTGACTGCACGTAAGGAGCTGGTAAAAATAAACTGTGAAAGACACAGGAGAATGCCAGCAAGCCCTCCACCCCCTTTTCACCCAGAGCAGAGGCGTCACACCATCTTATATTTCCACAGAGCTGTCATACAGAACTTCTCTGATGGAATCCTGAAGGCAGGATTCTCTCCCTCACTCACTCAGGGCACAGCCCAGAGCATTTGACACAGAGTGTATATTGCTTGCACAGCTTTTTTGTCTACAGTGTTTTCTAAGTGGCAGAAACTTCCATAAACTGAAGTGAGCTATAAAAGTAGAAAATGCATCTCTTCACAAACTTTTGAAAATACAGATTAAAAATATCAAACACATTTACTTATTTTCTTTAGTTGTTATTACTGAACTAATGAAAATTCCTTCACTCACCCCAGAAAGGATGTCCCTTACAAACTGTGTGACTGTTCAATAAAATACTGTATCAATTTTAGGACAGAACAAATTATCATTGTGAAACAATGACCAGCAGCAATTATAAGAATTCTAATCCAAAACTCAGAAAACCATCACATATCTCCAGAGCCATTGCTCAGCACGATAAATTTGCTCTAAGATGGATATGACAAATATAAACTTAAAAGAACTGAAGGACTCAGATAAAAACTATGAAAAGGAATTGTTTTTATTAGCAATGAGAGGAAAACATGCCCCAAAGGAACTTAGAAGCTCTTTTTCTCAAACTCCGTCCTCTCTTTCAAGAGGATTTAGATTATCTACGAATATTGAAGAGAAAGAAAACAACTCATCCCATCTATGCTACATTTACAACATACAATTAGTGTTAAACATATTTTCCTCCACATGGAAATGGAAACAAGCAGACATTCTACTGATAGAAATTCAGAAATGCTATTTCCTTTTTTTACAATAACGTGCTTCTTCAGCTGAAAGGACAGGAAGCCCCACAGCATCCTCAGAGCTACTCATGCATAAAATCCCCAAAGCTATACCTGTTGATCAATTCACATTTCATTTCCAGCAGGAAAAAAAAAAAGTATAATTGGTTCAGGGAAATTCAAATCTCATTTGAATTAAAGACCAAGTACAAACTGACATCAGAGACAGGAAGAACTAGCTTTAAGTGTTAAAAGCCATCAGGCTGCATTGTGTTTCAGAGTACAGATTAAAACTGTAGCCCGCAAGGATTGCTCACTATCATTGTGCATTTAAGTCTTTCTTTTTTCTTATTTTCCCTACCTTACATACACCAATTACAGATGACCTGGTCCTGAATCCCTCAAGTCAATGGAAAACATAACATGCATTGACTATTTAAAGCAGAGTAATGTCCAAGTCAGTTATTCTGCAGATAAGAAAGCAGAAAAATTAATTTAAAATTGTTCTTTAGTACCTTGTTAAAACATACTGCACTGTCCCATGCAATGAAAGCAGATAAGATAGGACTACATATGAAAAAAAGAGAGAGTATCGTGTGAACGAACCCCAAAATAACACAATTATTTAGAGCTTTGTGAAGGGGACAGTGGCTGCAAAGTCAGACTGAATCAGTTTAACTGCCCGTTAGAACGACTGCCCTTTTCTCCCTTAGTATGGTTAAGTACTTGTTTAAGGTGGGGCACTCGGGGTTTGGCAACAGATCCTGAAGATAATGGCAGTTGTTCTGCTCTGGATACTGGGAGAGGGGGATCTGAAAGCAGTGGAAGAATACTGAGTCTGTTCCTGAGCAAAACAGAAAGCCACAGCATATGAGTAATCCTATCTTTAGTCATCACAGTATGTATTCAAGTGCTCCTCTGAATGATGATGGGATTACTCACATGGGTAAGGTTAAAAGCACATACTTTTGCTGAGCAAATTATATCTTGATAGAAGCCATAGTAATCCACGCAGTTCTCTTCAGAGGTTTTCTCTGCAAATACTGGGACACCCACATAACTGAAGGGAGAACAAAGACCTCTTTAATTATCGCACAGAAATACCCTAAACTTAAATTCACTGATTTTTGCTTGCCTTCAAAGCACATTAGTTGTCACATTAGACATGACTGGATCCTATATCCAGAACCAAAGCACTCTAGGACAGTAGGACAGTAAAATGAAGAAGAAATAATATTTTATAGGGGGATATAAACAATTACTCTAGTTTCAGAATTCACTAAAACTAATACGGTCATGCAGATACAATAGAAAAAATGACAAATAAACTATACAGCATAAAGAATATTTATCTACAATAATTTAGATGTCTGATTTTGGGGTACGTGTCAAAGAAGTAAACATGGAGAGACTTGCTTTCATGAGATTGTGTCAGTTAGCCTGTGAGTAGGTGCCTCAGGTGAGAAGAACTGTGATTTCACACCAGGGACAGCAAAGCTCACACAAACCAGGCAAGGGATGTTCAGAAGCTTCTCACGCCATCTGCTCAAACAAGGATACAGACTCACAGGCAAGGAAGAAACCTCTGGGACTAGAGGTAAACTGCAAAAAGAGAGCTGGGACAGAAAGCCATAAAAGAGCAGCTAGAATTATGTTTTCCTATCTATATGTTTTCTATGGTCCACAGTCATAAGGCACAGTCACTGCACCAGTAAATGAGTGTTGATGCTCACACAAGATCTAAAAGACACTGACAGACACTGACTAAAAAAAACAGAACAAGTAATAACTCGTTGTCCTCTAGATATCATTTTCTAATTTATACTTTTGTAACTGTTTTTTTGTACTGTAAGGAAAAAATGGAGCTGCAGAGTCCACATGAGTCTATGGAGTCTAATACGAATGTGTTTAGATACCATGCCTACTAATCTTTCTTTAATAACTAAGAGACTGCAGAGAGCCTGAATAAGGCCCATATACCACTTGTTCTACTCTGAGGACTAAGAAAGGCTCAGCCTCTTAAGTGTGGAAGTATGGAAGTGTTTGGCACACAAGCATTGGTGTTGCTCTGAAGCATTAGACAAATTTGAGACTTAATCTGACCTGAACAAAGTGAGAAGGGGTGCACGGAAATAATAGTCTGGAATGAGAAACATTTTAAAAGGCCTCAGGCAGTTTTCTCTAAAAAAGAACTTATTAAGATAGCAAGTAGATCCAGTGAACAATTTTTTCTAAGCTACTAATAAAAATACATTTACCATTCAACAGAGTGAATAGTATACAAACTATTTGCACATTTTGCAAAATTAATATTATTTTTTCAGTCAGAAGCTATTCCACAGAATACTTTTGTTAGAAAAGATAACTTTTCTGGAAGCAGTTTTGAAAAGAAAAAAAAAATAGTTTAAGTTTGAAATTATTAGTATGACCTGATGAGGTTAAGGCTTCTCTCTTGAATTATAACTGTGAGTTGACTTCACTGTGTACTGAATTCTCAAGTCTGTAACTGATGACTGCAAAAAGACAAGACACATTGTGGTGGGTTTACAAGTCTAACCACAGAAAATACAAAGTAAGAATTGGCACTTTTTTTACATATACGTAATCAGATATGTTACAGAACTAAAATAATCACTCCAACTGGTCACAGCAAGTCAGACAGGTTTTCTAAAGGCAAAATAAGTTTGAGAAGGGATCGAGAAATCTCATCAAATTTTCTGCAGTACCTCAGTCAAGTGGAAAAGGTTTCATACTCTTGCTCTGTCAAAAAGGCAAGATGTGATACAAATTTAAAGGCACAGATATTACAGAACAGTCTTCTCTTGAATAAAATAACCTATAAATTATATAATTGTTAAAACTAGGAACAGCCATTTTGATCTTGCTTTATTTCTCAGTGCTGACTGTTTCTTGACCAAACATCTCTATCTTTTCTAATGCTGCACCACTGTCTGCTGGAGGAGTCTTTCCTGAGCAGTTTTCCTTCTTTCTTCCCATTTCTGTAGCTTCCTCCAAAGTATTAGTCAAAGGTTTTCCAAGTGTCTCTGGAAGCATTAATGTTAATATTCCACTCAGAAGAGCCATGATTCCAACAAGCAACTAGAAGAAATAAAAAGCAGCTGTAAGGGTAGAAATGTTTTTCAAGGTATGCAAATCTTTGGTCTTGCTTGAGAGTACACTTGAAATAAAATTCAAGGAACTGCGGTGTAAAGCAAATATCATAAGTCTGAAATGCTGTCTGTACAAAAGATCTCCTTTTTTATTGTGTAAATGAAATCTTATGTGGCAGAATTAATGAATAGCAAGTTTAGAATTAACGAAGAACAAATGCAGTGTTTTGTTTTTTTGTTTTTTTGTTTTTTCCATAAGGAATCAATACAGTGCAAGGAGGAATAATTATGTTTGAGAAAAGAGAATATATATATCTTCATTTGGTATTTCTACTACCATGCATGTATTTAAAAATAGATTATAGGATTGCATTCATTTATTTTACATGCATGTTCACAGAGCTGGAACTTCCCCACCACCTATAACCTCAATCCACTCTCTATCTCCTGAACCTCTCCCCCTGTACCCGCATCCTTGCTCATCCTATGTACAGCCAGACCAGAATTTCTAGGTACAGACTGTTGGCCTGGAGCTGCAGAAATGTGCACCTGGGGTCAGGAGAGCACTTAATTTGTGGTCAGCAGAAACTATAACTCTCAACAGGAATACTTTGCTGAACTTTCATTATAGATCCAGTAGGGGTGCAGGCATTTACTGACATGTGCACCACGGTCACATCTTGGATTTGTCTGTGGCATACATGCTACCATAACAGCATGCTTCAGTGTCAAGGAGCAAGTACCAGGACCATGCTGGATAGATGCAGATGCACACGCTCCACAAGCATCTCTTTTTCCCTTTATTTCTTTATTTGCTCAGTGAGAACAGTTTCCACTTTCCTCCTTTGAAGTACAGTACAGGCATTAAAACCTTGACATTCTTCCAATGTTAGGTTATAAATAATCCAAATCTCTCTTGATTTAAATGCTTCTGCACAGTACATCATGCCCGGCCTCAGTGTTTTTCCATTTCATGACTGTGTTCTTTAATACTGTATTATCTTTATCTGGCCCTGTGCTGATTCTCATGTTTGTCCTGTTTGTTTAATACTTGCCCTACAAGTGTGAGACATTTGGAACTACAACACCTTTCTTCCTCACACAGTGCTGGAGACAAGAACTGGCCCGCTACCATCTGCATCTAAGTAAGACTTTCTTCTCAAGTTAGAAAGAAGCTTTAAAACTGGAGTTCTCCACTGTGACCTTGAACAGAGCCGTTTTCATGCAAATGCACTCTGCCGCTTTTCCTTGTCTCAAGTAACTTTTCGAGAAGCAAAATTCATATGGTTCCATACACTCGTCTTTCTTCAAAATACTGTTTAATAGGACAAGTGACAGCGAAAATAAAATACTCATTCCCTCACCATGTGAAATTACAAAAAATATCCTAGCAGTAATAGGACCAGAGGAAATAGTACTGAGTGAGAAGAATACAAAGTGTCTGAAAAGTCAACTAGAACAGAGAACACACTCACTACTGAGCACAAAACTCTCCTCTACTATTAGAAGTTATTTTCTGTCATGGCAAGACAGGATGAACTGCAAAATTCTATTCCGTATTGACCTTTCTTATGCATTTTCTTAGGCTGCCATACATTTATAATTGAGAATACTGAGGGATTCTGAGGAGACCGAAGCTTAAAGACTACTAATTTCTTTGGATATCCGTACATTCAGAGTTCATGAGAACAGGGTCACTACTGATGCCTGACAGCAACATTAAAACAACACTGTGCTTTGTAGATGTATGTCTTCTCTGTTCCATATGGTCTTTCAGACACTTTCTTCTAGTGTTTCCCTTCCACATGAACCTGCCTCTTATGCCCTGTGAACTCCCACTATCCTGGACACCTGCACAACACCACCTTTCCTGCCTTTAATCTCAGCTCTCTATTGCTGCACCCCAGGCTAATTCCCTCTGTTTCCCTTCTACCTCATCTACAATGCATTTTCCAGTGCTTCCTATGAAAGACAGAATATGAAACAGTTAAATCACAGCATATTAATGAAGTGACTTTTCAAACATCATCTTTTTTTCTTTTTTCTATTTTTTCAGGGACAGTATCCAAACTTACCAGTGAAATTACAATAATTCAAAACAAGTCTTTAGCAAACTGGACATTACTCTTCATGTGGCATCTGACAGGATCTAGCCCTATGTGTGATCCAAACACACACAGTATGTGTATGTTATGTCTGTGTGTAACATTGTCCATATGTAATTCAGCATCAGAAAATGTTTTCCTGATATAGCCAAGAGTTAAACGTTTATGGATTGAAGTGTATTGTTGTGCAAAATATTTAAGTATGTTTAAGCTCCACCAAAATTAATGTGGCAGCTGTGTGTGTTTAAGTCACTGCTTTTTCAGACTCTTCATTTGAAATCTGACTTTCAGTTTAGTCAAACTCTCAAATTATTCCCAGCACTTCGGTGGCATCCAGCAGTTTCTAACAGCTACCGTGAATAACTTCAAAAAAGATGTGCTGCCATTTTTTTAAGTCTTCCTCACTACCTGAAGCAACAAATTTAATTTCACACTGGTATAAAGCTGGGAGATAGTAGACTTGTACTAGAGAGAGAGATTTGCATTAAATATCCCTACAAAATAACACCCTTACTTTTGAGAACAAGCAATTCTTCTAGCCTGACAATCAAGTATGTTCATATCTGATTGCTTGAAACCAGTCTAAAAACATAATCTTACTTGCAAAATCCCTAATTCAACTACAATGAAAAATATTTAAAACACGGGATTTTCATTCATTTGGCTTCACTGACCACAGTGGAGTTATTTTTGTTTGTGCTCTGTGATGCATTTGACAGAAAAATCAAGGTCCTGTTAAAATACTAATGGAACATAATTCTGAACCACCGAGAAACACAAATAGGACACACATAGAGCAGCACCGTTACTACAACTCCTCTCAAAAGTTGTCGCATACAAACTACATTTTTAGCAAGCTATTCAAAATTTATAGGCATTCAAATGAGGTGTTTGCATTGCTCACAGGTGGCATAACTGTATGCGAGGCAGACTGTCAAACAAATAGTGGCATTAACTGCTTGACAGTGCGTGGTGTATACAATAGGTCAACATGATATACATCAGCTTACTCAGAAATGTAATCCATTTAATTTCACTTTCATTCCAAACCACTTACTTTACCTAAGTCTTGGCAAGATATGCACCATGCTTAGACAAGCCTATTTAATAAACTGACAATTGCTTTATAGTAGGAGCTAATAATGAAAACATATTCACAGTTAACGACTACACAGCTCCACAAATACTATGGGGACTTTCTGCACACTGAGGGCTGCTCAGAGCTGAAATAATTCCTCTGTTCACATTGCTATTTCCACTGTTCTCCAGCATACCTGAGCATTCATCATCTGTGGTTTGACTGCAGCACTTCTGCACAGATAAAGCTTATCTCAGCTAGTAAGCAAAACATTGACCAGAGAAAGAGAAGCTCCCTTATGGCTGCTCTGTTGTGCAAATATTGTTTTCTGTGTCTTTCCTGAAATGCTGTATTGGTTAGTATGGGGTCATTACTAAGAAAGAAAACAGTTTTTAGGAGCATGAGGGAATAAATTATTTTGTGGTCTGCTTTGTTTTCATCTAAGACAACTGAATGTAATTAATTTAAATTATGAAACAAATTCCCAAGAATTCTCTCAAACCAATCTAGCATCTATAAGGTTTTCATTGTTGTTGTTGTTGTTGTTGCAAAATCAAAAGGACACAATGCCATTTTTTGCACGAAATTCCAGTGTGGTAGAGAAAATTAGAATCTAGGTCAAAGACACATCCTATTGTATTTTTACCTTCTGACACATCCAGTTTACATATAACATTGCTATGCTAGACAAAGCAAATTCTAGGGGGTTTTGAAAGAACTCAAACTGTTTTTAAATTGTTAATAAGCTCTTGTTCACTTATAACCTTAATGTAAACTTCATAATTACTTATAATTTTGCATCAGCAGAAATTATCTTCCAGGAGAACAAAAAGGTATTGAAAAGCTGCATGATTTCTAAGCAGCAAATGCGTAAGAGGAATGTAATCAACAAATACAGTTTATTGTGAGCAGGAAAGAAACAAAATATTTTGTCCAAAATGGGTTTGAAGCTACATAACATAGAAGAAATGCCCAAGATCTATGAAGGAATGGTCTGCGCCTGTCTTCTCCTGGGGCAATTAGAGATAAGGATCCAATAGTAGCATGACCTGGAAATCATCTACATTACAGTGTGCTTAATGAATCCAAGGTCCTGTTTCTTGTCAAAGTTACCATGAACATCATCGTTAGCTTCTCTTTTTTTTTTCTTTTTCCATTTCATGAATTGCTTAGTTTGGTTCACGTAAAGGAAAAGTACAAAGCAGATGCTTTGGCACAGATGTGAAGACTAAGCATAGTAAGTCTAAGACAGTCTTGATCTTTTGGAAGGCTATTCCACAAGTGCAGTGTCCCAGGGAAGCCAGGGAAAAGGCTAAAGAAGAATTTTATGCAGTTGGACTTGATGATCTTTAAGGTTTTTTCCAACCTGAGCAATTCTGTGATTTTATTATAAAAAAAATAGAAGAATGTTATCAATAATACAAAAATAGAATAATATTACTAAAAAATATATTATAAAGAAAAACAGCCACCATGGTGAATTTCTTAAAGGGAAAAACTCTGTCTCTGGAAAAAAATGAAGAGTAAGTTATTAGCATGGTCTGCAGAGTAAAGAAGTATGGACTTGAGACACTTTTGAAACGTTACATGGAAGATAAAGTATACTTTTTTGGGAAATATTTTTATTTAATAAATTTATACAAGGACCCAATGAACAGAAATTTTTGCACATCACAACAACTTCTCACACTTCAGTGACTCGAAGTCTCCCTTCTGCTTTACTGCATATTCTTAACAATAAGAAGTTAATAATCTTTGAGTCTTAAAATTTAGAACAAGAATGGTTCATTCAATTCTTTTCAAAGGAAAAGTTCAACTTTCAGTTCCTAAAAAAACAAGTGACACACACTTATTTTCAGAACCTGAAATGTTTACAATTGAAGTAAATACTTACAAGTGGCAAGAAAATCCAAACACTTCTCAGATACACACAGAAAGGAGCAACCACACTGCCTACACGGCACATCATGCTCCCACTTCCAACAGCAAGCGATCTGTAAATAAAACAAATATTTTGATAAGAATTCTAGCAAATAAAGCAATTAGAAATTGTAGCAGCCATTAGATGAGTTGAAGTTATACTAGAAAGCTACTGCCTCAACAATATGAATTTACGTTTCAGTGAAATTCAGCTACTTCTGAAACGAAGACAAAATCAGATTAGCGTTCAGCACGCACTATAAAGTGAAGAACTGGGGCTATTAAGAAAGGCATATGTAACATACAGGAAAGTACTGAGTATTCTTTTAGTTCCTCAGTGAAACCAATCAGTGGCCAAGGAAATGAAAAATTAATACAATTTTACTGTACAGGCAAATACTAGACAACTCTTAGCAGCAGGGGTACTCGTCCTTTGCTGTCTTTTAGACCAATGTTGCTAATGTCAAGAGCTGCTAGCTCTGGCACAACAGCATAAAAAGGAAAAGGAAATAACAACAAAACAGTGAAAGATATCTTCCGGCAAAAATTCTTACCTTACAATTGTTGGATACAGTTCTGCTGTGTAGAGGTATATAAGGCCAAATGCCACACCTATTGAAAATTTTCCAGCCATGTTTGCCAAGATAATTAACACATTAAAGTCCTATTGAAAGAGATCACAAATAAATAAATTACCAAAAAACTTCACTGTTCCAAACTTGAATTAAATCCATGACTCTTCTTTAAACACAAAGCAATATTTATTACTCGTTTTTTCTTTAAGGCAAGTAAAGTGTCCACACAACTTTTTACCAGTCCTGGTTCTCTGAAGCCCTGGGAACATTTTACATCTGTCTCCAGCAACAGTACTGTGAAGTCTGTACTGAAAATACAGAAATCTATCCTTGACTGGCAGCTGCATTTTAAAAGCATATGATTTGGAAAGAACAGCTGCCTCCACAGACTTCAGGATCAATAAAATAAATGTCTACTGAAGGAACACTTTCAACAATATATGACTAACCTGAGGTATGAACATAATTAAAACACAGATCAGTGCACTTAAAATAAGGAACGGAATGAGTGTGTTTCTCCTTCCCAGTTTGTCCATCCCAATGCAAGCAATGATATAGCAAGGCAACTCCACAGCACCTGTCAGTATGAAATTATTTCATTTTAAGTCATGATTACACATATTCATCTTATAACTCTAGCTTCCTCTTTATGGGGATTCATTTAATCTAGAAAGTTAGCTTGATTGTACATGTCACGAATATGTGAAATCTAGAGACAACTGTTCTGTTAGAATCATTCGTCTGGTCACAGAAACGGCAACAGATGATGGAAAACATAGCCTAAGATACGTCAGTGGGGGATGAAGGAGGACAAGTGGAACAGGTTTTACAGCATAGAGCAGTTCCTAGTCTCTTTGGGGTGGAAAATTACAGAAAACAGCAAGGCTTGCTTTAAAGAGAGGGCAGCTGCTTACAGTAACCCACTTGGGTAGATTTTCTCTTCCTAACATCTCTTTCCAGAAAAACTTAATGCAGCCATATGAGACCAATATTTGGCAAGAACTGTTCACAAACTCTGTTTGAGCATGGTATGCCCCCAGATAAATCATACTGATCCTAAACCTTTCTGGACATGTTTTAAGCCAACTTGCTCATGAAGAATCTTGCTATGTCCAGGGTAATGTCAGGGAAGAACATAAGAACAAATAGGCTGTGTTTCTCTACTGAGTACGTGTACTATGTTGATGCACCTATAATACTGGAAAACAAATGTTGAGGTTTGTATTGGTAAAAGCAGGCTGTAGCCAGTCACACTACATCAGTCTGCTTGAATATTTTTGGAAGAAGTGGGCACAGTGAGTTACTTACTGCACTCACTCTTCACCATGCCAGCCTATCAATACACTACAGTATGTGACAACTCAAATTCAGCTCACAAGAGTTACAGTCCTTCTGTGTGTTGATGTACATGGACAGGCATGTACATCTTAATTGAGAGCACTGGGTCACATAAAACAAAGCACATAATTTATTCCCCTGCTATCTCAGAGCTGTCTGCCCAACCTGAAGTCTTCTGAAGTCAATGGAGTATTTCCACTGATTTTTACAAACTTCAGGTCAGGCCTTGAATGCGCTTCGTAACAGCTTATAAACCACAGGAATATTACAGTCAGATCAATTAAAGGAATAGCACGACTAAAAATACATTTTTGAGAAAAACAAAATTATTCCTGCTTCTGAGAACCGTGAATCTATTTTCTGTACAGACTGACTCAGCATACTGTGACTGCACGTGACTATAGACTTAACTTATCCTATGTTCTCCTAATTTCTGCTTTTAACGGAATGATATATGCATTTTGTGTTGCTGGTCTGCTGCCATTAGGTTTTGTGTGGATCTGCCAGACACTTGCAGGATGAAGAGGAGAAAATTAGAATGTGGTTTTACAATCACAAAGACAAAAAGAAAAGAGTTTTGTACACCAACAAATTCTCAGTTCTTCTCTCTAAACAGTTCTTTTCTCAAAACAGTGAGATTTCTTCTTGTATTAATCAGCTTTATGACCAGTTAACAAGAAAATTTTGGAACAAGGTTCATAGTTGGATAAATAAAGTTAAAAAAACTGGCTGTCTAATCTCCAGACATTTCTGAATTTAATGTTCTAGTTCTGTCAGAAAAATAATAAAGTACAAAAACTATTTACCTATGAGAAACAGATTTAAATATTCATTGCCTCCTAGATTGACAGAACTCAGGGAGAAGACGTAGTACCCCAGGCTCCCAGTGAACCAGACCAGCCAGATCGTGATGGTCCTTCTTGCAATGTACCAATTACAAAACAGATCTAAGATGGTGTGCTTCTTGGTTGAGGATGCACCATTGCCACTTGTTCTGTCAGTGCCTGGGTCATCTTGTTGGACTGAGCACAGTTCAGACACTTTGCAGGAAGTGCTTACTTTGTTCCACCTTGCCATTATATTGATTACTTTTTGTGCATCTTCATATCTTTTCTCTGATAGCAGCCACAAAGGTGTTTCTGGAAGCATCCAGCAGCACAAGACAAAGGGAAGAGTTGCTATGGAGAGAAATATCTGATACACCCACCAGGTCCGAACCAAAAATCCCACGAGTGCCACAACCATAATTCCCAAAGCAAAAAAAGCATGGACATGCATAGAAGCCCAGGTTCGTGCTTTAATGCCAACAAATTCAGTCACATAAACAAAAGCCACAACCAGATAGCCACTTGAAACCTGGGGAATGGAGAAAGAGAAAAAAAAAAAAACAGTGTGAGGTTTTTATCTACTTTTCTTGTGCAACAGGTAACTGCATTCCTCATTTGAGTACATTTAACTGGCACTGCGCTGACCTGTTACTCAGCAACAGAAAAAAGGCAAACCTGAAAACAAATCACTTGGACAAAAAACCTCACTCAAACTTTCAGAATACCTGGGAACTGGGTTTTAAGACGTGATGTGCTTTTGGATGCTTCCCTTTAGTGTGCAGAGCCAGTAAGAGACACCTGAAAAAGTGCCTAACTAGCTGTCGTCACTTCCAAAAATCAAGTCCTTAATGACATCACAAACTGGGCACTCAGGAAAATAGTCTCCCAAAGTAACTGCCACTTTTGAAAACCTCAACCTTGGCTTTTAAGTAGACTAATACTAATCTGCATGTCAAAGACAGCACATTTGCTGAGAATTACCTTTCATACTCCTGTAAATAATCATTAAATCAAATTTTTACAGTGTTGGAAGAGAAGCACATTTTCAGAGTTACAGGTTCTTATACAGATCTAGCCATACTAATAGAATGGAATTACTGACATATTCTTCATTGAAGGATTTTTTCTTTGAATATATATCTTTATATATATCTTACATGTATTTCAATTTTGCTAGTAATACTCTAAACTCTTGTTAACTTAAAACATTTCAGAACACAGCTAGAAGTTCTAGGCTAGAAAATATTCCAGTATATTATTTTGATTAGTCAAATCAAAAAATCTGTTTTCTGGTTACAAATCTTCCACTTAATAAACCCTTGCCTGTGAACCCACTGAAGCTGACAGGAAAGCTGCACTGATCTCAGTGCTGAAGGATTACAGTTTCACATCTCCTCTCAAATCTACTCCCAGTGGGCAGTTAAGACCTATGGCATCTGTTTGGTCAGAGTTTTTTGCTTTTATAAATTACCACAGCCCCTAGCATCAACACCAGGGAAGTGAATCCTGGTGATATCACTGTTCAAGGCTGAAATCCCCATGCAGTTTTCTTGCTGGGAAACCTTTCTGTGCTGTAATCAGGCAAAGGCAGGTCCAGCTACAATGTCCTCTCTTGACTGCCCACAGGAATATATTAAATTATGTGATTAATTTCAAATTTCCAACCTCCTTTAAGTAACTTATATCATTTTTCTTCTGACAGCTTTCTAATGTCTTGATGCATTGTATAATGAGAGATTATTAATATACTTTTGGATGTAAAAATCAGTTACCATGTATACCTTATATAGATATATGGATATCTATGTATGTATAGATATACTTAGACACATATACTGGAACATCCTTAAGTACAGTATGAACACCTAAGTGCTAAACATGTCTACCTATTTATTTAGTACTTCAGATGTAGTTTAAAAGACCAAAGAGATGCATAGAAGAGAAAAAGTGCATCTCTCCTCCATCAACGCAAGTGGCAGAGATAAAAAATCATACTCATTATAGATTTGTTATTTTAAGAAATATGTACTCCGTTTGTAACAGCAAGGAGAAATGCAATGCCAGTTGCAATGTAAAAACCAGAGTTCACTGCTCACACTTGGTATTTAATTACCAGTCCAGCAGAGGTTGGGATGGAGGAGGTACCAAACACTGCTTCATACAGATGCTTTCTATTAATTCAAAGAGGAAAAGTGCTGTGGTCCAAGAACATTCAGACTCTCCCTGCTCTGCTGAAATAAGTGCAACAGATGGGGCTTTAGAATAACGAAGTAGAAGAGGAAATAAGAAAAAAAGGGGTTTTCCTGAGAAGGGGAAGGAAAGGACACATGAAAGAGCCAGTGAGCTCCTTTCTTACCATAGCAAGGAGAAAGCGAACAATCACGAAGCTGTAGTAGTCAAACGTGAATGCCACTGTGATGCCAAATACAAACTGACCAGCACTTGTGAACCACATAACGCGCTGTCTTCCCAGTCTGTAAAGCACAGCAGCAATAAAATGATGAGCAACCATAAACATTCCATCAGAATAAAACTGCAACTGCAGAGAGCCTGTCTGGAAATGAGTCTGAAAATACTGTACCTAAGGCTCTCACTCACCAAAAACACTCTGCATTACTTTCCTGTATTTTCCTTGCCATATGTGAAAGAAAATTTCTATTTCTTTTCAATAATTCCAACTAAACTCAAGGAAAATGGAAACTCCTAGAGTTCTTGCTAGAACTCTAGTGACATTATATTGCTCACATAACAGTGTCAAGGTTAACTGCTCAATAACTAACCTGCAGATTTACTCTGTCTTATTTATGAAGTCAGTACATAAGATTTGCTTTTTTCAGATATTCATTTGCAAACAACAACACCTCATAGCTCTTTCCAGCACACTCTTTATTTGGTCTTTCACCATCTTTCACCAGCCCTGACCAGGAAGATGTGTGAGGAAGGAGTTATTACACACATCTGGTTTATGACCCCTGCCAGAAGAGATCCCAGTGGGTCCCAGCTGGCTCTTCTGTTGGGAAATCTGTTAATTGGGAATGGGAGGAACCCACAAACTTATTTCTCACCAGCCAGAATGTGTCAGAAAATAATAACTTTCAGCTGTAAAATCCATAGTTGTAAATCTGCAACTCAGGATGTATTATCTCAACTGACTGTTCATGGCTTAAATTAATTGAAATGAGAACAATATGAACCTAACTTCATAAATCATGTCTGGGTATTAATTAATAAAGCAATGGCTTATTAAAGAGACACAGAACAAATGTTGGTATTATATCCTGGCTTTGTATTAAATGAGGTTTTACAAAGCCTTGAATTGAGAAGAAAGATTGATTCCATGTGTTCCAGAAGACAAACTAAAGGAAGATCATCTTTTGGCATTCCCACATTGCCAGACCAAAATGCTGTACTAATGAAGGAAAACCAGAGAACAACGTGCTTGGCCTCCTTTTGCTCCTCATAGTGTTTGCTGTGGAACATATCTTCACCCTCCACCTAACAAACAAGCTCCTCTAGAGAAAGAGATGCATAACACTAAAGGAGTCTTCAAATCAAAATACAAGTATATAAACTGTTCAGGACAGTACAGCGTAGCTTAGGAAACTAAATGTCATATGAGGAGACAGGCACAGCTAGGCATCCTGGATCTCACTGCCACTTCTGAGACTATCTGTGAAGCTGGCTCTCAGTGCACGATCTCAGAAAACAGCAGGGGAGGCAGAGCCATAGGGGCCAAATGAAGGACAGCCTTGGCACAGCGGTCACAGGACTGCTCTGGTGGGGGCCCTGAGCTTGCTTTGGTTTTCCTTTGGTTCAGGCAGAGCTCTGGTCATGCTGGTAAGTAGGTGGAACCACAGCAAAGCACAGCAGTGACCCTTTTTACTTCTGTCTGGACTAACCTTCAGGAGGCAGAAGTTTAATCTCACCTTTCAGGCAAAGAATGCAATCAGGCAGCAAGGAAAAAAAAATGGGCTTGCTCAATCCCTCAAAGCCTTTGCATTAGTCCCAGAGAGCTGTATTTGTGATAAAGGTCAGGTCATTTTTTGTTTCAAAATACATGGGTTTTAATCCTCCTGTAGTCCTCAAGCAGTTCAGCATATCCAGAGAGAAACAAACGCTATCATGAGGAATCTCTCCTCGTGGAAAACAAGAACACTTACTCCCAGGTTTTACTTTTGATATTTTTACCATTCCTCTTAAAAAAAAAAAAAAAAGTCTTTGGACAAAATACTAGCTGCACAGTGCAATTTGAGGGACCAAGCCTAGAGCAATGGATAATATAAAGTAGGAAATAAATTCCAAAAGCAAATGATTAGCAAAGACACTGGAAAATTAGTACTTGCTATATGAACAAGAAACTGAGTTTCTTTTTCTGAATAAACAACATTGAAACCTGACTTTGTACACAACGAATGAAAACAACAGAACAGGTACACAAGCACAGAGTTACTGCAGTCTGAATGTACAATGCTCAGAGGATGACACTTTACCTGTCAGCAATGTCACCAAAAATCACCGCTCCAACCAAGACTCCAAGCATGAACGTAGGCTGGATTAATTTTGCCAACCATTCTCGGTCACAGACCAGATCCCACTGCGTAACAACAGTGCTCTTCCATTTTGTATCGTCATAAAGAAATCCATCAGAACAAGAAAATATGGACTTGTTGCCTTTATATTCATACGCTAGGTCAAAACTGACTTCTCGTTTGGACTTGCTGCATTGATTAAGTTCCCAGATTTCTCCATTTTCCAGCTGGGCTACAATGTAATTTTCTGTTGATGTCCACGTTGTCCAGATGTCCTCTAGACTTGCTTTAGAGGAGTTGTAGAAGAGAACGCTACTCACATTTCCAGGGATCCCACATACAAAGTTAGGTGTAACAGCCATGAACACAGATGCTAAGTAATGGATGCCACATGACATAGCTTGAAAGACAGATGCAAAATACACACATGCTTGAAATCTGCAAAGGGAAGTAAAAACGGTTTACTGAAGGAAAGCTTTTTATAGACACAAAACCATCAACACAATTATTTTGCTAGGATCAGTCCAGTGATTGCGGCAAAGTTGTAAATGGAAGCATTATCTATTTCCAGTGGTTTGTTCTGTAGCATGGCTTCAAGATAAGCTAGGCCTTGCAAGAAACCAGTGATAAGAAAAGAAGCAATCTGTCCTCTGGAAATACCAGATATCTCTTTTTGTCAAAAAGCCAACACTGCTCTTAGCTATGTGTATGAGTGCACAGAGAAGACCATTTAAAAAGAATCAATTCTGAGCTTCAGTGTGAAGTTGGAAGCAACCTCCCAGCTCCAACCCCATCCCATCAAAATCTCCAAAAAGATGACCTGAGGTTACAAGAATGGTCAGAGAAACCAGAATGTTGCAATCTCGGCTCCTCAGGGATAGAGATACGCATGTCAAATAGCACAAAGCAAACACATTATGCTCTTCATTTCTCTTAATTGTATCCATTTACCTCTACTCCATCTATCTTCTACCTTGCTTTGTCATCTCAGAAAGATGAAGAGATAATACATGTAGGCGTGTAGAGGAAGAATCTGAAGGGTGAAAAGCTTTGTAAAAAAACATAGCTGTAAATCTGGGGGGGTTCTGGCTTCAGCAGTGTGCAGTTATGTATAAAGATGGTATCATAAAACAAACATAGTAAAAGAATGTTTTATGTATAGCCTGAAGTTTGTCACTTTAACAGCTTTTAAAATATGCTTGAGATGCAAGCAAGTCTCTGTGTATAAAATGCACACATATTCTGAATGTCAAAAGACTTGCAGTAAACTATTATCACTCACTGCAAATTCTAGGAGATTCTTACAGTCTAAACATAAGGAATCTCTTCCTCTAATAACTATTAAAATTATGCACAGAATTAGTAAAACATTTGCTCAGGGAAAACAAAACAAAACAAAATGTTATGGCTTTGGTTTCTCCTTTCGTTTTTTTATTTACTGGAAATCAACCAGTTGCACAAATTTGAAGAAGCATTGGGTGAGTTTCTACACATACATCCTTAATGCAGCATACGCTGGATCTGGATAGCAGGAAACAAAATAGAGCTTTTTAAAACATGGTCAGAGGCCGTCTCTGCTGAAGTTATGCCTAAAAAACAACTGCCTTGAAATGTCACGTGCCTGTAACAAACACAAATTCCACATCACCCCCTACTAACGTGAATGCAATCTAGCCTTGAATTCTTCTGATAAGGTTTACAACACAACCTAGCCTAGGACTTTTAATCATCTATCATCACAATTTCTAATGAATTTCTAAACAACGCAGAGCCAAAGTAATTAAATACATTGCGCTGTGTACAGTGTCCAATTAATCTTTTCAATGGAAAAGTTCTGTTGTGTAGTCTAACTCCTCTCAACATCCCCATCTCTCAGAATCACTAGATGGCTGAGGCTGACAGAGACCTCTGGGTCCATCTGGCACAACCCCTGCTCCAGCAGGGACACCCAGAGCAGGTTTTTCAAAAGCAGGCATTTGAAAATCTCCAAGGAGAAGACTCCACAGCCTCTTTGGGAAGATCTGTCACCCGTACAGCACAGCAGTGCTGCCTGCTGTTCAGACAGAACCTCCTGTGTTCCAGTTTGTGCCCATTGCCTCTGGTGCTGGCACTGGACACTACTGCAAAGAGCACAGTTCCACCTTCTTTGCACTCTATTTGTATGCATTTTTGTTTGTATGCATTAATGAAACCCCCCTGAGCCTCCTCCTCTCCAGACTGAGAAGACCCAGCTCCCTCAGCCTTTCCTCTCAGGAGAGTTGCTCCAGAATCTTCACCGTGTCAGTGACCTTCCACTGGACATTTTCCAGTCCAGGTCTCTCTTGTTTTGGAAGACTTAGAACTGAACATGGTGCTCCAGGTGCAGCCTCACCCATGTTGAGCAGAGGGGAGGGATTACCTCTCTCAGTCTGCAGGCCATTATTTGCCTAATGCAGCCAAGAATACTATTAGCCTTCTTAGCAGCAAGGACCTTCTTAGACCAAGGGTGATCTCCTCTGTCTTTAGTCTGATCCTTAATTCTTTATTTGGTAAATGTAAAACCAACTTGCCATTCCTGTCTTTCCAATGGCATTATTGCTGTTCAGAAGCAGTACTTTTTATCACTCCTTGGCTTGACAATAGCTCTACTGATTTTTCCACAGCAGTCTGAGGAGAGGGCCGGATGGCTAAGTTCACAGTGGCAGCTCAGTAAGCTGGGCTCCACTTCCCTCTTGAAGACTCTCACAAATGTTGTGCTCTTTCTCATCAGACAGTGTGAGAGAGACGGTCAAGAGAAACTGGACATAACCAGAGCAACCCTTAAACCTATCAATCCTCTGTCAGAACAGCTTCTAGAGAACTAGATAGCTACCCATGAGCAAGAGTGAAACTGCTCTGAAAGGCTTTTGAACGATATTGAACTACCCAAAAAACAAAGGTTATCCTTTGTCCCCCTGTTAATACAGCGAAATATGGTTAGTAATATTTATTAATTTATCTTCTTCAGTGCTATTTTAATTGCAACTGTTCTCAACAAAAGAGAAAAACTATTTTTAAAAATAGCAGAGCAAGAGCTAATTCAGAAACTTGGGCTACTGTTGCAGGATGCAAAATGGGATGACATCAGAACTAGATGACCTCTAGCAGATCAGCAAATTAAAGCCCTAGAAGCAATGCAACTACATCTTCCACTAGCTAATAAAGAGTGGCATACCTGGAACCAGTATGCCCAGTATTTGCAATATCTGTCATTACGCATGAAGAAATTGTAGTGTCAGACAGCCCAGTTGTTATTTCCCAGACACAGGTAAAACAAAATAAATTCAGACTCCCATACATTCATCTTGAGCTTCCTAATTAGCTCTTCCAGCATAGGAAACATCAAGTTCATCACCTCTCTTCTAGAGCCCATAAAAGTGAGAAAGAAAAAGACATTTATGCTCTTTCTTGTTGGAGAGCTTTGAAGGAAGACAAAAGCCTGTCAGAATATAGGCTGAGAAGACGGCAGGAACAAATGCGCTATATTATTTCTGTAAAACCTAAATCCCAAGAGCATAACCAGGGCTGTAATTTTGATCAGTCCTAGCTAATCTCTGCACTAACTTCACCCTTGAGAGTTTCACCGTATATCTTCCTGAACACCTTTTATGATTGCACTTCAATAACCATTTTGACAGACTGCTCCACTGTCAAAGCATTCTGTTGGAAAATTCCTCATTAAATCTAATCTCCATGTCCCCTTTTTTAATGTGAGATTATTAGCCGCTTATGAAACATCCTTGTGCAACCTTGAACAAATCTTCCTTGTCTTTTATCATTTTTTCATAGAGAATTATCAGATTTCCCCTCTGGTTGCTTTGTAAAACTAAGTAAGTTACAATCCCTTACCCCTTCCTCATTTTTCCACTGTGTCCTACTGAACAGTGTCCACCTTTACAAAAAGCAATAAAGGATTTATTTTACAGAAATATCTGTGCCATGCAACATTTCTCCCATCTTTCAAGGGCTTAACTTAAAACTAGATGTAACTGGTTCTTGTAAAAAAGTTCTTCAGTTTTCAGTGTTACAAAAATCTTATTCAGCTCCAACAAAGAAATCTGCTCTACAATGTAATTTTTTTTCTTACCTCATTTGTAGCACCTATGCTAAGCAAACACTAAAAGTAAAATAGAATTCCAGAGGGGTGGTAACAGACATAATGTATGCCATTTCTAACTAGCGTGTGAAAAGTGTGTTTTTACAATAAATAGTCATGCTGTTGCTGAATCCTGAAGGATGGACCGCACTGCAGTTTTTAACCTCTCTCAGCTGAATAAAAAAGCCAAGGAGCAGGCAGAGGAAGCAGGAATAGGAGAGAATACAGCTGGATGTGAAGCTACAGACGTGTCTGGCAGCACCAGTGGCTGAAGGCAACCCACAGCCCTGCCTCCGCACTGAGTGGCTGCTTTTCTGTCTGTAAAAGCTCCCTACTGTTCTCTCCAGTAAAATTCCACAATGGGCTGGCTAGGGCTCACTCTGAAAATATGTACAACCCCAAAACCTGAAAGCTCACCTTTGCTGTGAAGGCAAAATTCATGGCTGACTACAGTAGTGTATTGATCGCATCTTCTCTGCCAATGCCAGATTGAAATGCTCAACCCTGTGAACTGGTGAGTTTCTCCTGTGGATACCAGGAGCTTTGTTTCTAGAAAGCCTGAATGCACAGAGGTCAGGAAATTGGATAACTCGCATAGTTACCAAAAAGGAGTTAATTAGGCCATCAGTGACAATACATAGAAAGCATGAAAAGTATGTAAGGAGGATGATACGTGGGATGGAAAAGTACTATAGACACATTGAACTTCTCTTGCCAGGGCAGCTGCAGATTGACAAAAGACAGAGAAAGCCATGGGCCCAGACACGTGGTAGACAGAGGTTTGCTAAAACAGCAGACAGTGCTGAGCAAGGGGGCACACAGAGATGCTCCCTGCTCCATTGCTAGCCAGGCCCCCTCCCTCTGAACAACTGGGTGTCCTAGGACACATCACTGGTCTTCCCAGCCTTAAAATCCTGGGTCTGTATTTTGACCCACACTCAGACAGCATCTCCTCTTTGTGGGAGGACGGCCCGCAGCTTGGGGGCCCTGGGCATTCCCTGCAGCAAGCTGTGCTGGGGCAGGAGGTGACAGCAGAACCCCTGCACTTTGCTGACCCTGGTTAAAGTCTATGCTGTCTTTGCTGTCTGCTGTGAATGATTAACTGTTTCCCTAATTCTTGAGTTAAGAACACTGGACAGATAAGAAACTCGTCTATTAATAAGCTTAAATCTCTCAACCGCAGGCTCATGTAATGTAATCCTTTTAGCAAGCTCACCAACTCCATTTTAAAAGTTAAATTTCCCTGACATAAGAGATACTGCTGCTCACACACTGAAATGTTAAGAAAATAGAACTGCAGCAGCAATAAATACAACCAGCATTC